TGCTGAAAGCAAGGGAATCTGGGGCCAGTGCTCCATGTGCATCCCCGGTCCGCCATGCCATGTATCGTTCGCGGTAGGCCTCGGTTCGAGGGATCGCATGCTGAAATGATTCAGTTTCGAAGCTAGTGGCAGGTACTACAGACTCCTCAATAGACTATAAAGCGAAGACCATGGCTTCTCGTGTTCCGTGGGACCCAAGGCCAAAAATTCTCAACACTCCTGCAGCTGAAGCACGATGTACTCGTGTGTCAGACCCATCCTGAGCGGTTTCACTTGGGAGTTTCCCAAAATAGTGGGGCCTAATATAGTACCCTACAAATAGTGGGTTGGAGGGGGGGGCGTCGATTTCACGAACTGGTCCATGGCACCAGTCGTCTGGGGACGTAACTTCTTGCCTGAAGGAGTTCTCGTCTTCCTCTCTCATCAGCCTTTGGGGTGCGGAACCTTTTGTCGGCCAGCAGAGCACAAATCAAACCAAGCCAATCCCCGTAAAAGCCCGAAGAATCTCGACACGCACACTCGCACGCAAGGCAGGCACGGCCTCATCAGTCTTAGATTTGTTTTTGAGCCTTAGGTTTTAGGGTTCAGGGTTGTGCCCAAACCCATCCGAGCGTCTCATCAAGCTTGCCCATGAGGTCAGGGAGCTCCTTCACTCCTCAGACTTCGGCTCGAGGGCTCATTTTTCCCCAGGATCATCTGAACGAATGCTTTAGGGTTTAGGGTTTTTTTCTTTAGACGACCCTTTTCCATCTGCATGAACGGGTTTAGGGTTCAAGGTTTTTTGACACCCACTCTCGGACAAGCCTGGCAAGGTCTGCAGAAGTAGGTTTAAGGTTTAGGGTTTCGGTCTTCGCCCAAGGGGCCCTGTGTACAAGTCGATGCAAAGACTGCATCTTCTTCGATCGCATCCTTCTAAGTTGATTCTGATAGAGGCCTGACACGACTGGCGATAGTCGTCATGACCGTGGTCGCATGACCGGCATGATCATCAACCACGATCAGTGTCAAAAACATGACGATAAGCCAAAATTCTCGCTGCTGCGGCTACGATGCTCACACCTGCACTGCAAGATCTGCTCTGGCCGCGCTGCCTCTCTATGTCGCTGCGACTGCCGCAGGCAACCACCCAGCCGACGACGCCACGACGGCCACCCCCCCCCGGCGGCAGTGCTTTGAGCTCAGAGATGCGTATAGTGACCTACTGGGAGGTTCAGGGGTAGTTATAAGTGGGGTTATAAGTAGGGTAACTTTACTTATAACCCATATTTAGGGGCTTCTTACCCCACTTATATATAGCTACCCATGAACCTCCAAGTAGTGTCATCTCTCGGCGAAGCCTGTTCAGCCCGTAAGTCTGCCAGGCCAGGTCGAGACCTCTTAACAGCACCGCAAAATCTGCTGAATTTAAAACACTGAAGCTGCTCCAAACTCACCAGCCAGAAGCTAAGCCAGTTAAGCCCCTCAGCTATCGAATCCAGATTGCTTTGGCGGTCTCCACACTGCCAATCACTGGAACTACTCTGTCTGGGCACGCATCTGACCATACTACTTGGAGGCTGCAGGGTTCAAGCAATGCCGCCTCCACTGTTGCGCCAAACCCTCAACCCTACATAAATCCCACTACTGTACTGGTGTCGCCTCATCCCAGCCATGGACGCCACAACCCATGGCCGTCCCAACGCCACCCAAGCCCGAAACCCGAAACCCCTACAGTCCGGAAACCTTTTACTGCATGCAGGCGTCTATCGACTTCTTCCATGGACGCGGGCCGCCTCATGGGTCTGGAGGTGCCTCACTGGGGCCAGACTTCAGTTGCTAGCAGATAGATAGACAGATTGATGATATGAATATTATACATATATATATATATATGTGTATATATGAATGTGTGTGTCTAGAGATGTAGAGAAGAAACAGATTCAAAACGCGTGAACATTACATGTATGTGTTGATGCGTGTGTATATATACTGTATATAATCCGTGTATTCTGACTAAACTCGCAACTCGGACATCGGTTGGCGCAATCCTTAGCCAGGATCGATCGCAAACCTTGCATTCCAAAACCGCCTGCTCGAGAATTGGTGTCCTAATCTGATTGCCTCCCAGCCGGTTCGCTGAATGTATACACTGTGTCTGTGCATGGGCACACACTTGTACGATTTAACCGCATGCTGAACATGTACAAGCTGAGGCATTCAACGTATTCCACCTGCCCTGGTGCGACGTGATGAACTGTCATATTGTACCGAGGCAGCATAGGGCGGCATCTCAGGAAGCAGACCACATGATGCCGTCAATCACACAGATGAAACACATCCTGGACAAGCGTCCAGACTTGTGGTTATGTGTCCATGCATATGCAATGCGATGTATGCGCACACACACACACACACAATCACAACGTGGAGATACGTACATGTGTTTGTCGCTGCTGAAAAACATCTTCTACATATACGTATATCATTAGTCTTCTCGTCCTCTTATGTCCTCTTCCTGCTTCCCTGAATGGGCCATGATGGCGCCATGCACGCATGCGTGCATAAATTGTCGGCCCAGGAAGCCCGCTCGCAGCAACATGGGCACGAGTTTGCGCCTAGACAGATGTTGTGTATCTACGCATATCAAGTATGCATGTCAAGTACCTACGCATCTCGTTACATGCATAAACAAACAAATATGAGCATGTGCACGTGCATACACATACACACATACACACATCCATCCATCCATCCATCCATGCATCCATGCATCCATGCATCCATGCATCCATGCATCCATGCATCCATGCATCCATGCATGCACAGTTGTACAGTTGTAATACATGGTAACATGTTGTGATCTGACCTCGCATTTGAGGACAGATCACAGCAGCTACAGCTACGTATCGTATTGGTATCCATTCAAATGCTCCTTAAGTTTGCCCGCTGTGTCCGGTTGTGTCGTACATGTGCGCACATATCGCTACTAACGGTTGCATAGCGTACTTACACAAGCGCTTCCAAACTGATTACGGCACCACCGGTGTACCCAAAGCCTCTCTGCACATCTCATTCCCGGCTAACCCGACACTGTATATTATAGATTCCAGGTTGGTCCTAAACGGAGGGTTCCCCCCCGGCCTTCGAGATGAAGAGCCGCCATATAAACGAAAACACGCGAGGTTTCTTGACAGGACAGTCATGCAAGTAGCCGCTGAAACCCTGAACCTCCTCTTTGCCGCCACAAGCCAGCAAGCCTCGACAACAATCAAAACAAGAAAGCGTTATCAGTCTCCCGAGCGGCGTCTCGACACCGCCTTCGCTGGCTCAGGGCTTGAGGGCCCCAAGTTGGTTGAGATTCTAAGTTGACTTGCAGCTGTCGTGGTTGGGGAGTTCGCCACCCGTGGCGTTTGGCACAGTATGCACTCCAGTCTTTCACAATCTCGATGTGCGAAGCACTAGTTCCAGGACGTCAACTTTCGTGAAGTAACACCACGCCGTGGTGCTACCGAGCTATCCAGCGGCCTGAGGTTCTGTCATTCGCTACCTGGCGGACCCGAGCAAGGAGAGTCCCCAAATCCTTAAATCTTGCATGCAGAACCCTGGAAACCCTACCGGAAGTTGATGGCCCAGACCCTGTTTTGCAAGCACCATCAGAAAGGAACACACTAAGCCCAACCGATCATACTCCGCAACCCGCCTTAAATGCGATCTACACTAGATGCTGCACAGTCTCAGGCGGTGCGCCATTGGACCTCACTGGTGGGGATCTGTCCTGTTCGCACAAGATTGCTTGCAAACGCTCGAAGTATCCAAAATGCACCCCCAAAGCCCTTATACCCTTTTGCATCCAGGCCTATTGCGACTGCCGGGTGCCTCTGAAGCAAGGAAGCTGAACCCCAAACCCTTTTTGCATCCAGGCCCCTTCGAACTGCTGGGTGCCCCTCAAAGATCAAACCAAGCAAGTCTCAATTATGGTAACTATAGATCCCTATTATGGTAACTTAAGTCCCCTACATCTTCCAAGCCTGGCTCTTCTGGCTCGGCTAAATTAAGGGCTTCATGCATCTTAGCCAGCCCCGAACCGACTGATAGGCCTCGAGCCAGGAGGGAAGCCACATCACCCCAAGAAGCGATGAACAATGATGTTCGTTATAGAAACAGTATTAAAAAGAATGGTGTTCCTAATTCAGAATCTTCATAGTATTCACAACGTTAATAACAAGCCTAAAAACCCTATAGTACAGATCCTACTCCAAGGATCTTCCCAAGAAGCAATGCATTCTAGCAGATCCAAGACTAACCAAAACGCGAAGCCTTCGGCGAGTCCCGCGGAGCCTCCTCATCCAGCCTGCGAAGACGACGCTACAGCTACTACAGTACTGGCATCTGGCAGTGGGAATGATGCGCTGGTGGTCTGGTAGAGGTATCGATGACCGCAGTGAGGGCTGTGAATGCGATGGCAATGGCTATGATGATGATGAAGAAAAAGAAGAATAAGATGATGATGATAATGACGACCTCGCTGGTGACCGTCTTCGCGCCTGGAACCCACACTACGGCCCCGTAGCTTTCCGAAGCTCCCAAATCCTTACCGTGGACGTCATAGAAGTGGCAAGCTGTTCCTTGTGCCAAGGCACCGGATGATGGGAGCAGATACCAAGGCCATGGTCTCGACGGCTGATCTTTGAGCCATTTGTGCTCTGGAGAAGGGGGTGGGGATGTTATCTGTCTGGTTTTTTGGTAGGGAATGGGGGGGATGGGTTATGGGGACTACTATTGGGGATTATAGGGACTACTTTAGTAATAGGGATCCATTTCCCCGTTTGTTAAGAACCAGACAGTTGTTGCTGGTAGCTCTGATCTCCCGACGGGGCAGGTGCTCCGCAGCTCACAGAATTCGCTCCGGAACCCGAAACTGCAACACGTTTACACTGCTCTTGCCCTTGCAGAACGTCGCGACCCCCATGCCCTGCAACGAGATGAATCCCTGGCTGTCCCCTGCATGGTGGGTGCCACGCTGGTCTCTTGAAGCTGACGCTGCGCTGCTGCCAAACTGCTTCGCCTCAGACAAAGCAAGCCCTGGTCCAGAACGTCTTGCAGTCCTACCAACTTGGTATCTCCTAGGTCTGAACAGTTACAACGCAGAGGAGCAAAGAGCCAAAGATCTTCTGCCCACAGGTGTGCAAGGCTGCACGGGACCTCTCCGCCCCAGCTGCAGATGCACAAGCATCTGGTCATGTTCGGAACTTAGTCCCCGCTCGGACATATTGAAGCACATCTGAAGCTTCCACTCTTCCATGCAATACGGTTCGTAGCTGGGTGTCCGGCAGCTGTGCGATCTCACCTGGGCACAAGTCCGGGGCAGCAACCCTTCTTGCGCCGCCGACAACTCGGACGAGGCTTGGATATGGCTGGTGTCGATTTTTGACATGATCATCCCTTTGAACCCTGGCCCACTCACTACCATGCAAGGATCAGAACTTCCTAGGATCCGAAAGCCCAGCCCTCTGAGCCCACTGCTTCTGGCATGGGTTCGCGCTGAACCCACACCTGCTCCTGGCGGGCACATACTCCACTTCTCTGCAAAACGCAAGGTTTCGAAAAAGCCTTGCAGCGATGGCTGCAATGCTGGAAACGTCACCAGGCCTCAACCAACTTTGAACTCTGCACCTCCCGAAACCCTAAACCCCCCAAAAACTGCCCCAAAAAAGAGCCTCGAAGCCCGAACAGCCGAGGTCCCAGCTGGCCCGGGCCAGCTCCAGCCGAGCGTCGTGCGCGGCCTCGCTCAGAAGCCGTGCCTCTCGCAGAGCTCGGGGCTCGGAGCCCGGGTCAAAGGGCCCAAGACTGGCTGCTCTGGTTCAGGAACTTGATCTAAAGTTACCATAATTGGGATCTATAGTTACCATTATAGGGATCTATAGTTGCCATAGTATGGAAATAGTAGGGATCTATAGTTACCACAATAGGGATCTTAAGTAACCATAATAGGGACCTATAGTATCTAATTATGGTTTCCTTATGATGGTAACATACACTATATCCCTTACCTGCAAGTTTCGAAAACTTTGGAGCAATGGTCAATGGTCCCTATCCCGTCTCTGACAACTCCCGTCACTCCCAGCTACTGTCACAAAGTGAAAAAGCCAGCATCAAGACTTCAACAGTTTTACCCTAAACCCTAAACCGTTTAAGTCCACCGGACTTAAACTGGAAGAGCTCTCGAAGAGCCGCCTTCTTCTGCTCCGAGCTGGAAATCTTGGCCTGCGCTTGCGGCGGAGGCCCCTTAAGGGTAGCTGGAATCTCGCATGAGGAAGCGGCTCTTGAGCTCCAAGAGGGACCAGAGTGATGTAGGGGTCTTAAAAATTATAAATGGGTCTTGGGCGTCCCTTATTATAAATATTGCATAATGGGCCCCAAAACCCTCTTTTAATTATCAAGGCCCCTGTACTAGGACTGAAGTCGACTCATGAGGTTCAGTTGGAGCGCACGCCGGACGTTCTCATGCCGATGGCTGTGTGGACATTCATCTTGAGTCCCAAAATGTCCCAAACACATTCCGGGACACCCAGTGGAGCTCAGACTTTCTCGCTACTGATTTTCCCGCCCTTCCACTGCGCCAACAGCCGTTGCAATCACCTTCGTTTCCTGCTGATTCTGTACCCCAGCACACTGTGATCGCTGAACCCAAAATGCTACCGCAAAACCTTGCCCCCTTTTGCATTCTAAAGGCTGACACGCCAACACCGCAGGATCCAAAGATCGTGAGCCCGAAAGCACACCAAAAGCAGTTTTTATCAGCGGACCCCTCTCAGAAACCCTTAAGGGGAACCCTAAAGCAAAAAACCCTTGATAGTGGTGCCTAACAGTTAGAATACGGTTTTGGTGTATCCTATACTCTCTCTCTCTCTCTCTCTCTCTCTCTCTCTCTCTCTCTCTCTCTCTGTATGTATATATATATATATATATATGTATAGTTGTATTTCTATACACACAACTGTATATGTACATATAATGGAACCCCCAAATAGTATAGGTGCTTATCCAGGTGTAATTGTTTAAGCCTCTACATTACTGGAAGCTCCAAACTCCTCGAGCATCGCCTGGGCTGCCACCTCCGTAGCGCTCTCACTCGCCTCGCCTTGGGAGAGGACTTCGTGGAGGCCAAGGCCAAGGCCCTCTGAAGTGCTGATCATATGACTGTCAATATCAACACTAAGACTAGTGAAGTAAAACTTGGTATTCATATTAATCTCAATAAAACTGTCAATATCAATACTGAAACTATTGAAGTTACAACTGGTATACACATTAAAACTCACCATACTGTCAATATCACTACTATAGTACTTGTAAATTTGGCATGGTAGTCTTATGAACATTCAGCTATTATTCGAGGATCCTGGGAGGCTCCTTTCGTCAAGGGATCCGTTCTCCTCTTGTTGTAAGGGTTCCTTTAATTCAGGGTAGGGTTTCGGCGCTCACATTCGGACAATCAAGGTTTCGACACGCACACTCGCGCGGACAATCAAGGTTTAGGGTTTAGGGATGCGTCCCGGCGTCCCGCTTATGCCGTGGGCTTATATAGGGTGAATAGTGCTGGGATTCCCTTCATTCACTGTACCTCCAGGGCATGAGGATAGTGACGTTCCAACTCTCTCGCTTCTACTCCAAGGCGTTCACAGGCTGACATGAAACCAACCACAGCCGTTATGTGCCACTGGTCAACACACAAATACATAAGGCGGTTTGGGGATTTATTGTTTCGACTCGCACAATGCAGGCACGCTGAAGGTTCCGCTTCGAAACCATAGCATGACTTTCTCGGGGTAAGAGATTTTGGAGTTGGGGAGGAGAAGGAGAGGGTCATTTCTCGATGCGTCTCGTGCATATCCTTGAGATCATATGATGTGACTAACTCTACTACACTCCAGGCACTGCTCCTTTGTCACTGCAGGCGAACCAGTTGATAGTGTCTTTGCAGCGTTCGCCACAAGCACGCTTCCGACACACGAAAAACGTGCTGCCCAGCTCGGCTCCGAAAGGAAAGCCCTTTCCTATTCACGTTGAATAAGTGCCGCATGACTAGTACGGCAAATCTCCGTTCGTGTTAAGCGCCGCAGAGGCACAATTCCACAAATTAGGCTAGAGAAGACTTAAGACGAAGCCGAAAGAGCACGAAGCATGAAGGCTTTGCTTCCTTGCGCCTCCGGATCCGCATTTCCTCTCCTCAACAGAAAAACTGAAGCCCATTAAGCTTCAGGCGGGAACTCTGCGCTGCACGATTGTTCAGCCAGCTAGTTCTTTCGTCAATCTGCTTTCGCAAGTTCTCGTCCTGCTCCTCACTCACTGAGGAACCATGGGTGCTCGTCACGTCCGAGGACCCGTAGCACGCCTCAAGGTAGTGCTTGCCGCGCTCACAAACATGGTCGGCCATGTGCGCCGGCGTGGCATAGCCCACGGATCTCAAAGTCATCCGCAGTGATGCCTTGCTCCACGAGCCTCTGGTCCATGTGCAGGATGTGGTAGTGGCAAGGCACGGACGTGCCTTGGATACCTTGCTGCGAGACCAGGAAGAAATTCAAATGCGATGGCTGGGCAATACCCTCGCAGGCCACTGTACCAGGAGGGACGTGTGCAGTGTCCTTTCTTTTGCCCTTTTTGTCAACTTCGATGCCACCATCCTGCATCCACAGGCGTGTCTGGTGACGTTTTTGGCCAACAATGATCACCAGCTTCGGGCTGTACGTGGTGCTGATGTTCTTGAAAGCGGCGTCGAGCAAGTTAAGCTCCCGCGTCAGGACGTTGATGAACTGTCCATCAGAGACGCCGTCGCGGTAGTAGATGATCGTCTCGGGGAGCTTGCGGTTCAAGTTTCTCCACTTCTCCAGGATGCTCTGCGTCATACTGGACAAGTCAATGATGCGCTCTTCGCTTTGGCGCTTTCGCTGCTTGAGTGCATTCAGAGTGTGCGGTGATTGCCCGCGGATCTCGTGGAAGTACGATGCATAGCTTGAGTCCACAGAGCCCACAACTCCGGCCACACTGATGCCGACAACTTTGTGGGTCACATCAGCACCCATGATCATGGTAGCCTCGTCCTTCCCAAGAATCGGGTGTGGCTCCGACAGGGCCACATTGAAAGCTGCTGTAGTCCCAGTCATCTCTTCATGAACTTTTGGGGCGATTTTCAGCATGAGGTTATTGAGTTTTTTCTCCGCGTCTTCAATGCCATTCTTGCAGTGGATGAACTGCGTAGTGAAGGCGCCAAGCTCGGTCTCTGTGATGAGCTTTACAAGCTTGTACAGGTGCTCTGTAATGGCGTCACGGTTGTCCAGCAGGATAACCAGCAGCTGGAGGTCCGTGTGCACGTGCAACTCTTTGAAGATCATTTCGGATCGAATTGCCCATGTCCTTAGAGAAGGTCTCCCTGTTCTTGTAGCAATGCCGATATGCGTCGAAGCCTTCCTTGGGCCACTCCACAAACTTGGCGTCATCGAAGTTCATGCCCCTCATGTAGCAACGGTTCTTGAACTCACCTGCAAACCAGCTGACATCTCTGTGGCTGGGCTTGGGCTTTGTTGTGAAGCACCAGAGGCCCCAGGAGACCTTGAACTTCGGCAGGGAAAGGGTCGTGAAAGTGTTGGAGTAATTCGTGGAGCTCCGCATGACTGAGTAGCCATCCCGGAGCTTTTGCGTGTCCAACTGCCGGCCGGTAAGGGCAAGCATCTGGAAGTCTATGTCGATTCCACTTGGCTTCAGGGCGGCCGAAGGGCCTAGCTGTGCGTTTCTCACGGCTTGCATTATCAGGTCTCGTCGCCGGGAGGGGGTCATGGCAGTGCTCCTTGTCAGCTCTCGTTGGAGTTCCAGCAGCAGCTTTCGACCTGCCAAGTTGTGTTCACCACCCATGACGAAGACGAACTCCATGGGAATGCAGCTACGTGCGTTGGCCAGCTGGATGCAGGGCAGCTCCGGATACTTCAGGTCTATGCTGTGCTTATGCTTGAAGTAGGCGGCAACATCGACGCTGCCACCCATCTCTTCACAATCGAACTGATATCGATTCGCGGGCCTGTCGGTCACACCGTGCACCTGCTTGTGATACTACGCACAATGCAAGCCTTTAGCTCAGCAACTCCGCATTTGATGGCTTTCGGGGTTCTGTAGGAGTACTGCAGGCTTCGGGTTTTGTGAGGTGCAAAGCTCTTCCGACATCCCCAGCCGCGATATTCGATGCCGAGGGCTAACTTCCATGGTACGTGAAACATCTGCCAAGGCCCAGGACCTACATCAGTCTAACAAGTCTAGTACCGCAACATGAAAAACTCATGAATAAGCTATGAACTTTCGCACACACACACATATATACATATATACATATATACATATATACATATATATGTGTGTATGTATGATTATGTATGCACGTATGTATGTCTGTACATATGTTCGATATGATGAACAAAGCGAAATGTAAGTATGGGTAACGCAGGGGGAGGGACATCGCTGGCGCTGTAGGACGAGATGGTGCTGCAGCTCCTCAATGCAGGGCTGCTGTTCCATACTGTCCTACTATTATCAGGAATATATTTTTTATTTTTTGGGGGTTCTTAAGCAAATAGTAGTGTCAAAGTCTCAACTCTGCACCGTCTTTTGGCAGCACAATCACTCTGAGAGTTAGGGTTTGGGGTTTGAGGATGAAGCCGGCCAGCAAGTGTGCACGAGTTTAGGATTCACACCATCAAGTGTGCCGAGGTCGTAGCGGTGCGAAGAACTGGGCAAAGGGTGGTTTAAGACAGCCTTTCAATATGGGGTGGCCTTCTGCCTAGCCAAAGACTGTTGGAGCTTGTCGCTTGCCCTTGGTCAACGTGCCTTTACATCCTGTCTTATGGGTCACGAGCACATGAACGAAGCAAGCCTTCCGTGAGCGCGCTTCACGACGTTGCTCCTGGGCGCAAAGCTCTGGTCTTCGAGTAGCTAAAACCTGCAAAGGGCCGGGAGCTGCATACGGAAGCCGGTACCCAGAACACAAATCAAACTTACAAGCCCGCTTATGCAGCTCAGCAGGCAAAGCCAACCCCGTCCTCGAGAGCTTGCGCCTGGTACCAAGGCCCAACTTCCCGTTTACGGGAGTCATTATTTGGACTGGGCTGTGCAGGCCCACCACACCCCCTACTTCAGTTTGGAAGCGGGTTGCTATTGAGACGGTGTCAGCCAGGAAGGGGACTGCTCGTCCGCTCAAGAACTCTCCCCAATCTGCTCATGCAGCGCTCGTACCAGAAGTATGTAAAGCAATCGAATGCATGCGCACATATACACACAAACACGTCAAATCGATCAAAACCCGACTCGCTACATCCAAAGCCGTTGCAATATGTGTAAAAGCAAACATGCGGCATGCAGCGTCCGGTTTCTCATGTTGTTTTCCCTAGACTAGGGCTTCTTAATTTTCATTAAGAGGCAACGTCCATCACTCATGTATTGCAAGGCAGAGGAACCCTCTCACATATTAAGAACGGAGACACTGTCGCACTTCTTGGGCAGAGGAGCTCTTCTGCTTCTATGTCTGATTTGAACGAGATGCAGCTCTCGCAATTCGGATGAAAGAGCCAGGCCCTTGTAGGCTTGAGTACAAATACCGGAGGGCCATACTGTTTCTCAGAGACTCGGAGCTATTCCCGTCTCTCAATAGGCCTGAGACGGAGCTCTCGAAGTTCCTACTGCTGAAAGCCGCCCTCTTCTCTTCTTTTCAGCACTAAGAGACCTTTGACCTCCTGCTGCCAACCTTGTTGTGTTTTGAAGAAAGACATAGGCGAGATTGGTGACATCATCGTTCGATCTCTCTTCTTTCTGATACATCGCAAACACCGATGTTTGTGGGGAAGAGTCGGAAAGATTGATTGCACTAACACCTGTAATCAGAAGCATGCTGCATGTACAGGTCTTCACCACAATCAATGAGCGGTAGGACGCTCATGCTGATGAGGGTGCTCGGTTACAACAATGATAATGTGGCACAAGACCCGAAAAGGATCCTAATCAAGAGAACTACCCACACGGGAGCTTCAGAAGCAAACGGATGCGTTTCTAGGGGTCCTGATAGTTGTTTTCCCTCTCGCCCTGCCGAAGCCGCGAGGTAAAGTGGTGGGGTCTACTTTCGGTCTGAAACCCAAAGGCAATAATAGGCTCAGACGACTCATACAAATTTCGATACCGGGTGAGAGATATGCTGAAAACTGCGAAACAAGTGAGAGTTACGATCATCCCCTGCAATGCGCCCTGCACATTTGCGCGTGAAAGTCGCGATCTTGGCTCAGTCTGCCGATATTCCCATGGCATCAAGAGCAGGGTGAAACATCGCGAAGAACCTCGAACATCGTGTCCTGATAAACTCACTCTCGCCCGGCTTGATCCTACGCAGACCCATCGGCGTGAGAAATGGCTCAGAACACGAAGTCCGCTGGCCCACTGCATCGTGATCAATGCTTGCGGATCCCGGCCGGCACTGATCCCACGACATCTGTGCAGTCTTGTGAGGTATTAGGTGCACCTTTTGAGGCCATTTCACTTTCGCAGCGTGTATTTGTGTGACAACATCACAATGATAGAAAATCTCGGCTTGTTGGACAGCTGCGAACTAGGAACGCAGCAAACCAAGAGCCTTTAAACCATAATCTTCAGCAGAGAAAGTTGCACACTACCAGACGTTAAAGTCTGGAGCTTGATTTCTCACATTTCACATTTCGACATTCGATCTTGGGGGGGGTTCCCCCTTCATGTATAATAGGATCAATTTCAAAACTCTGCCGCGGGGCCCCGCAAGCATAGGCTCCGATCAGTCTGCAAGACCGGGCATCAAAAGATGAGGCGGGCGCCCGCCTTTCCTAGCTACTTGTAGCTGCTCTTAAAGAGTTAGAAACCCGGCAAGGTTCCGGCGAAATGCCCGGATACCGGGATGCCTTGCTGGGATGTTAAGATTCTACACTACACGGCAGCTGCTAAGCCTGCTTAGCACTGGATCCATGTGCCAATGCACTCACGAAGTCCGCAACCATGCGGCCGCGGCCTGGCTGGGGTTAGGAGCCGATAAAGGGAACTCCAGAAAGTTGGAATATGGATTAATGGTAGGATCCCCTATAATTTACCTTAAAGGGACATCCTGTTCAACTTTTGAACGCAAGCCACGACAGTGCTTCCGGCGCCGGGGGTCAAGTTTTGGGGGTTGCATGGCAATGGCAGCGCTACAAGAGCCTTAAAGCTGCTCTGACGCTGAGGAACGTTAAGCCTCGAATGTGACGGTTCACCATGTTTAGCCCTGTAGGCGCCTGTCTTTGTGTCACCTGCGCCTCGGAAAATCATCCACTGCAACCCTGGAACCGTCCTCCGCCCTGGGCTTCTTCAGTCTTCGAAGAACGAGGGTGCCGATGACGATGATGGTGGTGGTGGTGATGATGAAGATGAGTACAACAACCATCAGGAAAACCCTAAAGCTGCGCCTCCTGGGCAGCTACCGACGAAGTCGGTGGGCCAGAAAACCGGTGAGGCAACCGAGCGCAAACGCAAGCCTCAGCTTGCAAAAGGCAATAGCAGCAGCAGCAGTCGCGGTAGACCTGATAGCAGCAGTGCAGCGGGAGCTGGAGCAGCAGCAGCCGTCGGAATGTTAGCAGATGCAGTAGTCAGTAGTCAGCAGTCGTCATACCTCTACTTGGAGGTTCATGATGGTTCATGGGTAGTTATAAGTGGGGTTATAAGTCCCCTAATATGGGTTGTAATTATAGCTACCCTAGTTATACCCCACTTATCCGCACTCATGAAAATCCAAGTAGTTCAGAACCTCCACGTCATCCTTTCCAGGTGGCGCCATCCACTCTCCCAACCGCCGAAAGGGTGCCCACGGAGCATCAGCGCGAAAACACACCTCGGAGAAGGTTTAGGGCCAGGGTTTCGACGCTCACACTCGCACACAGCAGGCAAGGCTCCACATGGTCCACAGGATCTCCACTAGCGACAGCGACTCACCAGACCAAGCTAGACGGAGGCCAGGGTTTTAGGGTAAGGGCCTGAGGGCCCACAGAGCAAGGAGGATACTACTACTACTACTACTACTACTGCTGCTACTGCTACTGCTACTGCTACTACGACTACTACTGCTACTGCTACTGCGGATGTGGATGTCGCAAGCAGCACAGGCCGTCCCCGAGAATAAAACATAAGATGGGGGACTCGCTTCTTCCTGCTTGGATGTGGCTCTTGATACTGTCTCTGGCAGCCCTCCATGTGCTGGCACTTCCCACCTAGTTTTGTGTTTTAAATCTTCCGCCTTTGGAAACCTTGCCCAAATTGGGGTACATCGCAATCGTGCTCTGTGTCAGCATGAGCACTAGCGTAAACCAGCATGGACATCACCAGAAATCCATAACCGCCGCTCGAAAAAGCACGCTCACCCTGATACAAGCAAGCACAACGCGCCATATGCTGGCAGATGTACAGCTGTCCCACTCTCTTCGTCAGAGCCGGGGTCGTCGTCAAGGTTGAAGCTGAAAGCAGCCTCAACTCCGCTAGTAAGCATTGACCCGAATCGATTCCCATGGACCACCCTCGAGGCTTGTGGCAGGGGAAACCTTGTCGTGATGTGCTTACTCTGCTCGGCTTACTACTGATGGGTAGCCAGGGCGTCTGGCTGGTGAACCTCCAGCTTGTCTACAAGCTCTTCGAGATCCCTCCGCGGGGGAGGACCCCTCCAAACTCAGCTTCCCGATGTAGCTGTAGCTGTAGCTGTGAAGTTTCAAGCTTTCCGTCATTTCTGAAGTGGCAATTCGGTCTGCTGCAGCAAGCACGAAGCCGCTGGTGCCTCATCCAGGCTGGAAGATGTGTCCGCGAAGAACTTGATGTCCGCCGCCTGGCATCTGCAGCTGAGGCCGGTGATTTCTGGCTTCACCCATGCACGCGATCAGCATCCCGACAACGACTAGGACTGGGACTACGACCACCACCACGACGACGACAGTTGAGGAACCAACCAACGAACTGGCTCACTCACTACACGTAACGACTAGGTACCACTTGCTGCTACCCTTTGCTAGCCGCTACTACGTCCTGCTAGTGTTGCTGCCAGTATTACCGTTAACACCACGACAACGACGACGACAGACGACGACGACAGACGACTACAGCAACAACTGTTGCAGCAGCTGAAGTTGAATCACTTGTGCTTCACTCGCGGTACTGCTGTCTCCAGCCTCCAAGCACTGAAAGATATCTCGATGCCCCAACTTATCGAGCAAGACTCCGAAAGGATTGCAGGCTTCAGCTATGCAAGTTGCGCCCGAAACTCTCGGGCCCTTACTAAAAACTAGGCCTAGTGGCCCTAGTCAAGGCCTTAATGATTAGAATAGGGCTGTGGGGGCCCGTTATGCTATACTTATAATACGGGAACCCCCAAAACCCTATTCTAATTATTAAGGCCCCCACGTCAGTGGCCCTAGTCGAGTCTGGGTCCGAAACACAGAGCCACCTCTTCGAAGGTCACAGAGTGGCTGGAACTGGACCGCTCCCGGCTGACGCGGCTTCGTTCCTCGAGGGCACTCATCGGTTCTTCCCCCCAGAAGGGGCGAGTGAAGGTTCCCAGGCGCTCAGGCCCGCCCGCCATTTAACGGGCTTTCGAGAGGTCTGAGACTGTGATGGTTCTTGACCGAAAAGGCAGTTTCTAGTATATTGGATCATCCGTTGCGTTAGGAGGGTCTAGCAGTCTAGCATTCATCGGTTGGCGCGTGGAATTTGCCTGCCAGACTTGCCGAAACCCTGGGTTTATTATGGCGTATGGTCTCGGCTCTTTCGTTGTTGAAGCACGTCTTGGAACACGGAGCATGACAAAGTCATGTTCCGATACACTGACGACCCTCCGAGTCCTGGCCCCTGGTTTAAGCCCAGCGGCCGTATCGGCATGCGACACCGACATCGATGCTATCGATGCCACGGCAACAGATGCGGCCGCCTGCACGCAGATCGTGTAAAATCAGGGCTTGCAGCGTCTATTTGCACAGTCCACATCATAGGACATGGGGGAGTCTACATTAAGAGTTACAGGGAAAGACGGGCG